GTCCTCTGCTAGTTCTCAAAGAGTTTGTCGGTGTATTAGAGTTAATAGCTCTCCTATATCTCTCCAATATAGGAGTAAAGAAATATCCGACTTACTTTTTTATTGCTCTGAACTAGAAGTGAAAAAGTTCTTACTTTGTTTTTAATATTTCTAAACTGAAGTAAAAACGTCCGGTTCGTACCAAAACACTTTTTGAAACGTTGTCATTGTATTAGAGATTTTCGATCATGCGACCACAAACATGCATCGAAGACATGTTGTAAGGAAAGTGATCATGCGACCAAATACACTCATCACAAGATCCCTCTTCTCATACGAGAAAGGGACAAAGTGTTGTCCGCCCTTGTATTAAAGGACATACTTTAAAAATATGCCATTTTCTTTTAGTTATTGATAAGGAAGCTTATTCTCTCAGATGTATGGAACGCCGTGACTGTTTATATGTTGTCTGCACATGTCAGAATGATTATTTGACAAGTTAACATGCTGTTTGAACAGGCCAGCATTGTCTTTAGACAAGATATGATGTAAATTGCACATGTTAATATGCTTAACTGACAAAATAATATCATCATTTCGCAAGATAGCAAACACATTGATAGCATAAGACAGTCACGGTGTTCCATACTGATGTGTCTTGAATTTGTTTATGTACAAACCAAATGGGGTATCAGTTTACGTCCTATTAAGTCCGTTATTACATTTTAAAAGGGTCAAAACATTATATAGTTTTTTTTTTGAGAATTTTGAGGTTTAAATTTTTTCTACTCTTCATTCTATGTATTTAACAGAATTGTGTTAATGTTGCAAAACATGCACGTTTCAAAAAAGCTTTTTAGATACACCTTTCACACAAACTTTTTTTTCTGTCATCAACAATTGTGGATAAAAGTACAATACGAATAAAATATAATAATAACCACGATCGCGACATCGGGTTGCTAAGTGAAAAACGTATTTAAATGTGTTTTATCATCAAGGGGCTCTTTTGCATAAAGTGTGGTCGTAAATCTATAACACATGACCGAGATGACTTCAATTTCAACCAATTACTTTGTACATCACAGCTAAACATTTCCTAATTGATAGATAGCTAGTCCTACATAACAACATTATGGGCATAACACTAGTTGTCTAACACAGTTAAGATATTGCGACATTTAATGGTACCGTTAAATTGGTGCGACATTTAACGTCATCATTGCCAAATTTAACGGCAAAACATTTTAAGAAATTTAGCGGCTGTTGCGACATTTAGCGACAATAGTGTGACATTTAGCTGGCATTGCGATATTTAGCGTCGTTGCGACATATAACGGCGCTACATACCAATAAGAGCGCATACGGCAACTCACAAATATTTCTTAGAAAAGATATCCAAGCAGAGTCTGCAATATTTGATCGACTACATTGTTTTCACTATTCTTGAGTTATCCTCGCATAATTTAGACTTTCCTACATTACTCTGATATCAGCATTATTTAGACCTTCCTACATTACTCTGATATCAGCATTATTTAGACTTTCCTACATTACTCTGATATCAGCATTAGTTAGACTTTCCTACATTACTCTAATATCAGCATTAGTTAGACTTTCCTACATTACTCTGATATCAGCATTATTTAGACTTTCCTACATTACTCTGATATCAGCATTATTCAGACTTTCCTACATTACTCTGATATCAGCATTATTTAGACTTTCCTACATTACTCTGATATCGGCATTATTCAGACTTTCCTACATTACTCTAATACAGTCCAACCCCGTTTATTCGAAGTGCCTGGGACTGAATATTTACTTCGAATAATCGATGGGTTCGAATAATCGAAATCGAAATATTGTGATAGACGAAAACTACTCGACTTTGACCAATCATCGCAAAACTACCGTTTACAACACATTTGCTTCCTGTAATCAATTGAGAAAAATAAATATTTAAGAAAAGATACGTAAAAATTATTGTATTGACATTGAAGACATAAATACTTGCATTTTATTTTACATTGTGTATCGTTTCGTTTCGCGCAAAGCCTTGATAATGGCCGTGTCGTCACCACGGTATTTACAGCTAAACTCTGGTATTTTCGAGGCTCTCATGTAGCGTTACAATTAATGAAAAAAAAATGTTTTGGATGTTTTGACAAATTCACATATACGGAATGTATAAAAATTATTGCTGTCATCTTCAACAAAATCGGACACGGTGCATAGCTTTTCATTTTCGGTAATTAAAGTTGATTAAAGAACACACAAAGAGTTATTATCATGAAAGATTCATGATTGTCTAATTACACGCATGACTGGATATTTTTCACAAGTCGACTGGTGAGCGAGTGGATCAGCGCCAATTTAATAGTCTGGCTTCGAATAATAATTAGGCTGGCTTCGAATAATAGGTGTGAAATTCTTTCATAATTGTTTGATCGGGACCGAAATTTTACTTCGAAAAATAGGAGGTATTCGGATAATGCATTTCGAATATTACGCTCGTATTTATATTGTTTTATATAGAGATAAAAACGGGACCGCCGATCTACTTCGGATAATGCCGGGTATTCGAATAAAGGGTTGTCGAATAACCGGGGTCGGACTGTATCAGCATTATTTAGACTTTCCTACATTACTCTGATATCAGCATTATTTAGACATCAATACAATCATAAACAAAGCTACATATTTTTTTTTTGCATACAAAAAACTCTTTTGTTTTATATTTCCAAATCCGACCTTATATCAAACTGTTTTCGAAAATTATACAAACTAAGATGAAGTATGATAATCGCTGCTTATGTGTTCACTTACTGTTGAAAACTTGAAATATTGTAACAGCTAAAATTTTAATGTTGCCTCGAAAAAAAGTTCATTAGTTTCATTCCGATATTTCTGGTAGAAAGAAAGTTAATGAACAAATTATTTAATTAATTAATTAATAATTAAATTAATTAAGTTAGAGTTAATTAAAACATTTTCTAGTGGCCAATTAAAGTACATGTATATAAGGTTTATGCAAAATCCACCTTTATTTGATTAGTAACAGAGAAAACATGTAGTGACATGTGCATATAACTTGTAAAGTGTTCTATGAAATGTTTAATAATAATTGTAGTACATTTCTTAAATCTTTAATACAATTGATACAATTCTGCTTTTTAAAGCTCTGTTCGCTTAATCTGGTGGCTGTTCGTTTAAAAAGTAATTTGTACACGGCTATTGAAAGTTCAGTGAAAAGTGACGATGTGGCTTGTATAAAGTAAAAGAAAGTATTAAGTTTCCTTTAAAACAGTTGAGATGAATACAAAATACGTTTCGAGTAGAGCGCAAGCCTCGTTGGTCATTAGTTGGTTGCGGTGACAATGGCAATGCTATAATTGATTTACCATTTTACAATACTATAATCATACACTGACAAAAGGACAAATACCAAATATTGACATTTCCACTGTTTTGTTTTGCATATGTAAGAATGAAAATAGCATCTAGATCAAATAGAGTTTGAAAAATGAAATGTCTTCTTTTTTTCTGAAAGTATAAAAAGAAAACACAACACAGCAATATGGTAAGTTAGCTAACATAAAAATAGAACCTGTTACTAATAATATATTTTAAGCAAACCTATCATATTACAAAAATGTCACTTTCAATACCGATAAACTTCACTGAATTAAATCGTTTTGTTTTTGTCTTTGTACACTTCACTCGATTATGGACACGTGTTTTGAAGGGTTTCCGTCCCGGGGGTACCTTGAGGGAAGCAGGAAAGTCGTGCTGGTAAGAAAACATAATCTTGTGGACAAGCTTGAATAAAAAACTGTCCGTTTCCATTGCAATGGACATATAGATGAGGGTCGCAGTTGTGGGGATACAGAGCTTGTGTCAGTGTTCCATGTTGTTGACATGGGTTGTATCGTGTTGGATTGATGCAAGTCAAGTTTTGTTGGTTCCAGATGTAACCTGGTTGACAATCCGATTCCCATGGTTGACCCCACACATCACAGTGGATATACTTGCTGCTCACGCCGGGATACGGGAAATACGTCATTCCTACAGTTCAAATAAAATGAGCCGTGTCACGACAAAACCAACATAATGGGTTTGCGACCAGCATGAATCCAGACCAGCCTGCGCATCCGCGCAGTCTGATCAGGATCCATGCTGTTCGCTTACCAACCCTATTACAAGTAGAGAAACTGATAGCGAACAGCATGGATCCTGATCAGACTGCGCGGATTCGCAGGCTGTTCTGGATCCATGCTGGTCGCAAACGCACTATGTTGGTTTTGTCGTGAAGCGGCTCATGTAATAAATGTTTCGCCATCGTTGTGCAGGTAAAAGAATGCCCTTATCGTTCGCTGTCTTAACAAAAAACGATATCAAATGGAAATGAAACTGAATAATATTTCGATCTAGATATTAATCTTAAAAATGTATTTTTCAACAGTTTAAATCTAGCATTAGAAATATAAGTGTGTATTTATTTTACTTAATGGATAACAAAAACAGTATTGAACAACCTTGAGGAAGGTAATTCTTTACCTTGTATGATGTTTTGTTCTGAGCATGGATTACTGACACCAGTTACATCTTTCTCACATGCTCCCGAGAAAGTCTGACCTGGAAGAGCACATTGGGAACATTCTGCATAGTAAACCTACAATACAGGATAGGTCTTCAATAAGAGTTTGTGAAAAAAGAAATTAAACATTAATTGGTCAATTAAAAACGTTAAATGATTTATGTTTGCTTATTGCTGAGCATTCGTCTTGTCGTGTAATTAATATCAGTAAGTCTAGTATGTTGCTTTTCGGTCTTACTTACTGAAAAAGATACATGAAACTGTTGTTATACTTTTGAATTATTTAAATAAATTTCTTGCTACTTGCTATTTGCTTAATATAAATATTTATACGTTTTGTATTGCAATAACATAAAAATAGTTTCTAAAGGTTTGACCCTTCTTTAAGGTATTACCATATACTATTATACTAAGTGAACATTATCAAAAGTATACCTGATTCGGTGGACAGTATACAATGTATGTTCTTCCCATAAGATCACACATGAGGAACTTGTCATGTGACAACGGATGTGGAAACCTTACATCGCCAGCAGGCACGCTCTTATTGTTGCAGGGAGAATGAAAATGCCAGTCCTCTGTAGTGGTATCAATTTTTAATATATCATGGGTAACAGGTGTGAATGAGATGTTCAAATGTATATGTAAAATGCTTGAACTGTATACAGATGGGTCACAAAAAACATTGACTTAAATCGTTTAGTCACTGTCCTTGTCAAGCGTAGCATGTTGATAATGCAAAAACAACAAAAACAACAACAACAACAAAGTATTCTTCTTTTCAACAGTTATTTCAGAGTATTCTCCATTTGAATATATACTTTTTTGATTTTGAATTCTAAGTGCGATATTGAACATAAAGTGAGAGAGCCTAAACCAGTGGTCTGTAGTCTTAATTTCCAAAAGAATGAAAGCTAAACACAGATGCATATGGAGTGATTCAGTCTGCCCTAATTTATAATGTGAGAGAGCCCAAAACTGATGCTCTTATCATGGTAAGCATATCTTCCAAATAGTTTCAATTTCCTTGAATCGGTTTAAAAAATACAGAGACACACATATGTTAACGGGCGGATATGTAGCCAGGTGCATTACATTATACAGCGATATTCTGCCAGGCAAAAAATAAATCTTATAAAGTACCTTGTTTTAGCTCTACCTTTAAAATGTATTGATATATTCACTATGATCCTATCATCAAACGGTCATACGGAATACTTCTTCTTTCTTAAGGTAAAGCTTATTAATAAAATGTCTAACTGCTTTACAAATTCGTGTTTCATAAATTTACCTGTGCAATTGTAGTAGGATTCGTCACAAGAGATAGGAACAATTCCTCTAAAACACAGAACCTCTGAAATATCAACAGAACAAATAAAAAGGTACAACTAAAACAAGAAATAAAAGCAAAATCAATAAAAATATAGAAAAAAGTAAATACATTTTCTGCCATGTTATCTGAAATATATCATTGAAAATCTAAATAAAAAATATTAGAGCTGAATTGATGTTTTCATCTTATAAATAAAGTGACATTATGCCCATTGCCCACCTGAGATGACATTTAAATTCAAGTTATAATTCCATGGTTTGAATAGGTCTTGGTCAGTCACCATTATAATAGTGAATCTTTTTAAATACATAATGCTAATAAGGTTTTGTTTGACAGCGAAAATAATGAGCACGGTGTCACTTTAGCACTTAGAAAGAAAATCGAATGATTTTCTGAGATAATAAACTAAGTCTATGTAACATATACTATAGTATATACATGTTAACACGGCAACAATTGTTAAGTGTTGCAGACTCGTTATTACTGAACCTGTTCATGAAGGACAGTGGTAAGTGAATGCGACCGTCTTTACCCACTAATGTCAGCTAACTTACTATGGAGACAAATCATGCTTGTTTTTAGAATTTCAAACATTCACAGATGTGTAGTAATTTACAACAACAACATTATTGGTCAAATAAATAAATAAATAAAGTATTTAATAGACAAGAAAATTATCCATGTTGTATGAAGTAATGATTTTTAAGATTAGTTTTTATTAAGATTGAAACAAAAAAACAAATACTAATCATTAAATGATATAAAATATTCGTTTGAAAAGACAAAGTATAAAATATCATAAGTGTGTGAGCGGAAGAAAACAAGTTCTCACCGATGTCACAATTTTCCCCCGTGTAACCATCAGGGCACAGACACCTGTATCCATTAATTAGATCAACGCACGTGCTTCCATACTGACACGGATAACTAGAACACTCGTTGATTTCTATTATGAAAAAGAGCCTATATTAAACATACATGAACACATATCTACATACACTCGTAAACATCGAAATGTAAAAATAACAGAAAGTACTAGTATAATTAACGACAATGGTCAATTTTACTTGATTTTAAAGCAATGCTAGTTTCAAAACAAATCATATGATTATTTAACCAGTAAGGATAATATACATTTCTTTTCTCAATAACTTCTCGAACCGGAAACCGTTATCTAGTATCATTATCAAATTGAATGTATAAAAATTCATTTTTTTTTATTTTTCTTTGCTTGATTACCGATTTGAGGCATTTATCATAGTTTTTTTTGTATCACAATTTGTATCAGTTTTGATTTCTCTATAAGTATATAAGTATTTAAAGTGGCAAACCTTCAACTGAATACATCTTTACGAAACAATTGATAATGGTAACTAATTTTTAAGTGAACATAGACAAACACTTACCTCGCACTTGATAATTATAACTTAAAAAAATAACGAAACAGTCGTCAAAGATAATCATATTTGAAGAAAAGTCATAATTCTGTTAATAGTTATTCTAGTCATTACTTGGGTATGAATATGGCCATTAATAATTATCTGTTTTAGTCATATTTTGAACGTAACAAGTTGAATATTTTGAAGCGCCATTTGCTTATCCGGAGGCTTGCCGGTTTAAGTTATGTTAAAATAAACTTACCAGTAAGGCAGTTCTTTCCAGTGTAACCGGGTTTGCAGTGACAAATATAGTCGCTAGCACCATCTGTGCAATTTGATACTGTATGCACTGTGGCACGGGCTGGATGCACACTCGTCTATATCTAGCATGTATAATGATAATAGCCTGTTAGATAAGATAATTCTGTATAAACTTTCTTAGATTCATAATTGTTTTCTTTTTTTCAAACCAAAGGAATTTATTTAAATTATTGAAAAACACAGAAACAGTTATATAGCTAAAGAATCACAGAAAAACATATTTTCATATTTAAAACGGAAGTCATAACACTAAAACATAACTGCATGAGCTCAAATTAGTCGACAAATGTGATAGTTTACCTATATGACAAATATCTCCAAGAAAACCATGAGGACAAGTGCAAGAGTAACCAATGCCATTCAAAAAAGATATACATGTTCCACCATTGGCACAGCGATCCCTTCCAAGAGCCGAACAGATATCTAGAAAAAACATATTAAAAATCTAATTCTGCAGATGCATCTTTTCATTTCAAGCAGCAAAAGAACGAAACTAAGGTAATGTTTTATTTCTAAGCTTGAGTTTTGATATGGTAAATTAACTTGACTCTTATGAAAAGATTTGGTGAGGTTAAAGTATGTCTCAGATAAGAATAAATTCTCTTGATACAGAAAGAGAAAACATGTGTTTTTATAATACTGCAGTAATGTAGTAACAACATGTGAAATTCTTATCAACCTGATTAAAAATAGCGTTGAATGTAAAATAGTTGATGGTAACAAAGCAAAATGTTCACAAAGTGGCATTTAGACTTCCATACAAAAATGCTTATTCAATAAAATTGTATTATATTCCAAAATACAAGAGAAGAAAAGTATTTAAACCTATTAAGTAACGCTTTTTGAAACTGTAACAAGAGACAAAAATAAACGCCTTTGAACATAACAATAAAAAGCATTCTTGGTGCTCCATAGGCTTAAATTAAATTTGACATAATCTTTTAAAGCATATTGTCCAGAATGTATATGATTCTAACATAAAATGCTTATCAAAAAATGCTTATCAAATTTCAATGCCAAATACGAGGTATGTTCAACCAGTATCCGGACAAGTATCGTATAGTAATTTTAACTATAATTTTCATTATACTAGTTGTTTTTAACCATGTCGCGTCTCGAACTGGATGGATTGTAAATAATAGTTTAACGTTGGTATACAGTATAACATATTCTATATTTGTTTGTTTGATTGATTCATCAATTTTATTTATATGTCTGTCAAGTTGATGGATTCTATTTAAGTTTAAGTTTATAACATTAACAATCTACCACTTATTATTATACAGATACATGTAACTTAATACGTGTATGCAAAGACTGAACAAAAAACCCCAAAAAACAAAACAAACAAAATACATTTTTCAAATATGTGGAGTAAGGAAGATAAACATATAAAGATAACTTGATATTGCAAATGTAATCAATCTGGTTAAAATTATCAATAAAACACCTTTGCAATCATAGGCATAATGTCCCGGGCACCAAGATGTTACCGCCACAGTTTGCCCAGCAGGACAGGACTTTGAAAACTTGTTTGCTATGTAAGCCCTGTATTGCTCAGTCTGTCGACAAAAAAGTAAAATCATATTTCATAACTATTAGAATACAGGCAGAACATAATGAAACTCAAAACATGATAAAAGCGTGTCTTTTATCATAAAAGGGTTGCTATGAAATGATTTAAGGTCATAATTACGTTCATAAAAAATCGCAATAAATGGCTCACTGAGAAGTAAGCAGTTTTGTATGGCAACTGTTATTCGGTTTACAAAGATCGCTTATCGTAATTGTAAACACTGTAACTTTATGTCATAAAGAATAGTTTATAAAATCTGTGAGCGAGACGGAAAGAAAAATAAGATTTTATGACAAATAAATAACAACAAAATAAAGCAAATAAATATGCTCAAAAGCAGACATATTTAGCAATTCTGTCAATGTATTAAACGCCCAAATGACCGTGTATAAATATCGTATTTGAAATTACTTTACTTAAAATAGTTTTAATATTATACTGTCCTACCACATTTAGGTCATTTTTGGTCCCTTGATTTATCCCACTATTATATGTTATATTCTTTTTGTGACAACATTTCTCTGAGGAGCCCCCTTTCTCTATATCTCATTTACAAATTATAAAGTATATTATATCTGTCTTACTTTGTATTATATTTCTTTCATCGGAACAAACTATTGTTCACATATCTCTCCGAACATGGTCCTGTGGTACTATTTAAAATTGTAAATATATATTTATATATTTATTTTATATTTAATTTTTATTATTATGTTCATTATTTTTTTTTTTTTTTTTTTTTTTTTTTGATAACACATTTAGAAATCGGTCAAATATTACGAGAAAAAGTATGGGTGTTAATCAATCTTTCAAAACATAAAGGACAAAGCAACCCATAACACTGTCACTAAAATATGTAAAATATAAACATTAGTGTAGTAATCTTTTTATTAAAAATTAGCATAAATAGAAATAAATATAATTTACAGTTATTTGATTAAGCAATTAAAAAAGAAAAACAGACTTCCAAATACATTATGAATTTTAAGAAAGAAAACTCGGTATTTCGTTGATGATAAAGGCATGCAATGATATGTAGAAAAATGTAATTTAACAGAAAATCCTAATTAAAGGTCTAATGAAGCAAATGATAAAATATACTGACATGAAATGTGTACAATATTATTTAACATATTTAACAATATTCAACATAAAATGGAATATGAATATTTAAGATACAAGATAACTTACATTGTCCAAGGGTTTGAACTAGCCAATTTGTCAAGAGAAACAGTGCAACTATTTTTGCGTCCATTTTTTATTACTCAACGGCAAAGGAAATGCATTTACTACATGCTATAAAATATGCAGTAATATGCACTCATTTGACAATCTGAAGTTAAGGTTAAGCATCAATATTATCAAAGTTTAAACTTGAACATGAAATGTGTCCTTTATTTAATTTTTTTTGGATACATTATCAATACTTGTTAGATACAAAAAGTTGTGTATCTCGTCTTAAGGATCGTAAATCTCAACTCAAGTATTATCATTGTAATGTTTTTGCAAGATATCGCTTAACTCAAGATTGTATTTAACAAAAATTATCATTTTTCCTGATAAAAACATAGCGTAATAACTCTTGAAAATTTGAATTTAAGTCAAAGTTTACTGTATGTACAAAGTATTATGGATTAAGTCTGCTTTAAAGTAGTTCAAGTGATATCTTAAAGATTATTTTGACATTATCGAAAATTTAAAAAAAGTTAAAGAAAAAAATATTAATAATATAAATTTTCTTTCAAATTTAAATTTTCCCATTTTAAAGACAGTTTTTTTGTATTTAAAAATAAATTAAAAAAAACTTTTTAAGATTTCCCCTTTTCTTTTTCCCTCATTAGCCCCAAAAAATAGTCAATGAAAAAACATTTAATTTTACCCAATTTTATTTCTAAAAAAAGAAAAAGTTAAAAAAGCAAGGGAATTTAAAATTTCTGGCAGTGAAACTACACCACACCACCACCCTCCATATATACAAAAATAAAAATTAAGAGACACTATCGCCATTATCTAAGGTAATAAACATCGGATTCAATGATATCTTAATTATGTTGTCAACAGTCTTAAAATCTGTTTGTATTTAAAATTTAAAACATTATCATTCATATTTTATAAATTGATAAGTTGTATTTAAAATTTAAAACATTATCATTCATATTTTATAAATTGATAAGTTGGTCATAATCTACCTTTCTTAACGTACCGCTAATCATGGAGATATATACATTCAAATAAGATATAGAGTATTAATTTTCAACCAAATACGGTCTTCAGAAAGGCCAGTAAAAACGTGCTTAAAATCCGTTATCATAAATGTTATTCACTTCCCTTTATCCACTTTCTTTCCAATATAAAAATATTGAACAGACCGACGCCACGCACTACATTTGTTTATTTAGATGCCGTCCATTGTTTTAATCTGCGATTTATGCATGCCAGACTTTTCTACCTTGTCGACATGAAGATATAAAAGACCTGATCCTTATGACGCTTCTGATCTTCTTTATTCTTTGTTATTTAATTGCTTCTAATTTAATGGTTTAAAAGTTTTTAGAATTGAATTTCATTTTTATTTCAAGCGTTCCAGGCACGAGCTGAAATATGCTTATGTGGTATTTACAATAAGACTATGTAATTGTTATATATACTTTTAAATATGAGGCTTGTTCAGCATACTATCTCTTTAAAAAAAATCAACACAAATATTTTAAGCAAAAACACTTTTTTCTTTAAATATTTGTTTTAAGCAGCACGTCTTATGCTTAAAATTCCTTGAGTTTTTTTTTTGTCAACTTGAATATGAGACTGAAAGTATTTGTGTATCATTGATCCTAATAAATTGTATGCAAAACTTCTAATTATAATATTATTTGATTATTCCGTTTATACAAGATAACCATTTTGATTGTAAAAGTGACCTTAAAAATAATAGCGATTCACGTTTATTACTAAAAATGGTCTTAAATCTCGAAAAAAAATCGATATTCACTTAAATTGTCAGTATGACAAGAAAAGCTTATCACCTGAAGGGAAAAGCATTGAATGTAGCATATTTTCTGATAAAGGTAGAAACATGACTTTTGACTTCTATACAAAATGCTTGATCATTATATTGTACTTGTTTTTCGAATCGGAAGAGAAGCAACAGTATGCCTCAGGTATATAGCCGTTAAGTAAACTTTATAGAACATGTATAAAGACACTGTAAATAAAAAGCTTTTGAAAAAATTAAAACTATTGCATGTGTAGCTAAATGGCTTTTTTAAGCGCCACATTTAATCTATTTACATTAAAACTAAGAAAATTTCCTTATCTTTTTGTTTCAATGATTCTGAACCTCATGAGCTTCCTTTTAAACTATTATTAGACAAAAATATTTTCTGAATAAAAAATTTTAGATTATGTATAATTATTTTGTTTTGATGTTTGAATAGGCTTCTCGCCCATTGAATTATTGTTTTCAAACACAGACATCTATAACTTGCGAATATTTCGGATGATGGTATAGTGTTTTTTTGGCCACATTTCAGCAAATTAGATGAGATCAAATTAGATAAGGGTTAATGAATAATTAAAAATGGCAAGTATATCTATCTTGGACGCACTTTTACCAATAACGTTATTGGCCAATTCTTTTATCACCTAAACAAAAATTTGGCCAAACCCATTAAACAATTAAAGTAAAAATTAAGGTCTGGCTTTACTTTGGCCTTTATAATTTGTAATGTACTTTTTTCAATGTTTACGGATTGCAATACTGAGTGTTAGACAGACATTGCTTTGCTATATTAGACCATAAAAGTTAGTAGACAAAAATATATATCTTATCTGAACCACAATACATACCTTAGATGCACATACGGTTTTTGAACATAGTATTTTACGTCCCATTAATATAAAACTGCTTTACAACAACACTAGAATGGTTATAGAATAATATATATAATGTTTAATATTAATAAATAAAATAATTTGATTGTGAACTAAATTGGTTAAATCCGTTTTTAATATTAGAATATGAAATTGCTTTTTCTTGTTAATATGTCGAGTTTTTACTTGAAAGTTAACAACAGTAAGAAAGAGCATCCCCAAATCAGGAGAACAAGTGGATAACTGTGGTGATAGAGTTAAGCCTTTAAAACCATGTCAGGAAATGTTGCCCTGTTCCCAATCAGATAAAACCGCTGAATTATTAATGGAATGGTGTTCAGTTTAAAACGATAGCTTTCACCTCCAATACTAAGGCCATTGACATTTGTTTTTTCTTTTGGGTTCTATTTATGCAAAAAAAATCTTGGTCAACATTAAGCGTGATATATATAAATTAATTGAAAAATTTTTAATTTTCTTTGGGTCATTCTGACCACCATTTAAACAAGAAGACGGGCGGGATGTAACTAAACAGTCGTAAATGTTTAATTCTAAAAACCTACGATTTCAGTTCTTTGTCCCATTGTTTTTTAAAGACTTAATATTTTTGTAGTTTTATCGTAAACTTGAATACGGATTAATCAAACTCAAGATATTTGCCTGTTTTTTTTTTTTTAAATTTTTCTTTTTGACAGTTTGGTTTTGTGATATGCAAGCTTTCATAAACCTCTGTTTTCCCTCTCTAACAGCCCTTTTTATTTAGTTTTGCCCATTGTATTCCGGGTTTAGCCGCACACGTTGTATTGTTTACTTTTGGGTTTAAAACATATTTATTTTAAGCTCGATTTGCGAAACAAGTTCTTGCAAACTTATATATTAATCACTTTTCGAGTCCGCTTCCTGGAACCGAACCCAGTACTTGGTGTCATATGGAGAAACATGGGTCGTGACCCGATTTTAGGGCTCGAACCCATGATCTCTGGGTTAGAGGCAGACACCTTAACCACTAGGCCACCGCTCCCCTATTGTTTACTTCATATTAAGTTTTGAATTCTCCTCTATAAGCCGGTACTAGGTGCCGTGAACGGTAGTCTGCATTCTCCAGTAGCGTCTATGAATATGCTCAATCAAAAAATGTTTGCAACATTTTTAATTTTGCAGTTTTAAGCAATCTATAGTGATTCTTTATTTCTCTATTTATTTTAGTTTTTATTACATTTTACTTGTAAATTAGTTCAAAAAACAAAACAAAACATTAATTGTTTTAAAGAGAATAGTTGGTTTTTTCATCCTTTTGGGGCAACATATGTAGTTTATGTTTAAAGTGGAATGGCCTTATCAAATTGATACATTTCAAACACGTGTCTTCTTCTTCAAAATACAGACAAAAAGGTCATAAATACATGAAAAACTTATCAATAGTTACCAAAACTTTGGGTTCAGACATTTGAATAGAAAAGGTTTTTTTGCCCCTTTGAAAGTTGTTTTTCCATATAGAGAAACAACTAGAACTTGAATACCACGGCGTTTTTGACCACATCCAAAAATTAAAAGAAGTCAAATTAGCAAGTTGGGTATATTTTAATGGGTTTAAACAAACCTCCTTTGGAATGTTCATCTAGAATAAGGTTAATGACATGCAAAACCCAATAATGCTTGTGTTTGCCGTTATCATTGGTATTTTTTGTGTAAATGTGTTCCAACTTTAAAACTGTCTGATAAGCACTAATCAGGCTTTATCCTTTACACTCCCCAATGATCTTTAAACTTTTTCGGGCTATTTAAATAAGTAGACATAAGTAATTATGGAGTTTGTCGCTGTAAATGCAAAACCTTATCTTGATCTACTTTGGAGAAAGAAATTTCATATTAAAATCAAACACTTTAAATGTTTTGGATTTATCTAGAATATTATACTACATATATTGAATATTATTTATTAGCTAATTATTTTAGGATGCGTAAATAATATAAAAAATGATCATTTATTTGTCACTAAATATTTTAAAATCCACAACAATAGAATTTAAGGGGTGCCTTTAAAAATTTTTTGACCAATTCCCCCCCTTTTATTTTCTAATCGCCAAATGTTAATGTAAAATTTTTCGGCAAATTATTTGATACCCGTTTACCAATATGGTTTTTAATAATGTTCAGTTGTTCAATGTTAAATTTGATTGAAAGACAGATTGAAATTTTTCAATGATTTTGCAAATTAATGTCAGAGAAGAGGAATACCCGAGAATTTTGGACACATTTATTGCTTTCCAAATGTTCCCAACCTCATAATGTTTGCAAGGCGATCCATTGCTACAGAAAACTCCATGGTTACACATTCTCATGCCTCTATGATGCTGTCGGCAGTCCTAGCTGGGATGACGGTCCATCCTTGTACCCAGATGTCCTCAATTCACGGAATGCTATCAGGTTGCACCTGATGAGCCGATACCCATACCTTCAGCTAATTCCACGTTGTGCTCGATCGGATTAAGGCAGGATGATTGAGCTAGCTAGTCAAGATGCTCAACATCGTAACTTCGCAAATAGTCCTGGACCATACAAACCCTGTGTTGACGCGCGTTATCATCCATTAAGATAACGTTATTATCTACTGCCTTAGCTTATACCTTGTGTCTATCATAGATATATCAATGACTCCAAAAGGTACCTCTATTTAGGACAAAAAGATCTGTTCGTTTATTGTAAAATTTTAAAACGAGGTCACTATTACTTTTTCCACCATTTTTGCTAGATGTCATAAAATAGAAATAGAAATAATCAAAAAAGAGGACATCATTGAAGAAACACAAGTCCCCAGCAAAAAAAAATTATCTATCTAAATTATGAAATACCATTTCAATCATGTTGAAATTTTTAGCCATAAAGATATTTTTTGTAATAGTATAAACCCCAAAAAATTTAGGAAAAGACGACCAAACAGCTAATCACAGTTTTTGGGCATTTTCAACAAACAGTTTTGGGGCCATTTTAATTTTACCTTAGTAAGACTTAATTTTTGAAAAAATGGCAAACTTTATTTTTAGGGTAAAAAGCGTTATTAGTTGATTTTATTATCACATAAATGACATATATGGGTTTTATACTTAAAAAAAAAAAACAAACAAAAACCTATTATAATTTCAAGAAATAGTTAACAACTTATAATTTAAGTAAAATGATTTTTTTCTGATGTGTGAATACCTTTTTCATCCTGAAAAGGGTTTTTCAAAAACACAGACATCCATACCTTTGAATATTCGGATGACGTATCGAGTTTTTGATACATCTGAGCAAATTAAATACGATCAAATAAGATAAAGGTAACGAATACTTTATTGGCTGAACAAAAAACTATATTGGATGTACTTCTATAATGAGGTCATTCACATTACTTTCATCGCGTGAACAAAAGTGGGCTTACTTCACTAAACATATTTGCGTGATGAAGGTAGGCATTTATTTCACGTTATTGGCCGTTTTTTGTTTCACTGTCTTCTGAGTTGAAAATTGTAAAATGCGCACTATTTAGGCTTTGCCCATTGCTGCTCTCCCTGTTAATTTAAAAGAAGGCTATTAAAACAAGGAGACGGAAGGTTTTTGGACAATAAAGTTAGTGAACAGAAATAATTATGGAATTTGTCTGTGTAGTTGCAAATAATGTTGGTGATCGTCTTTTGCATTTTAGGTTAGTCATTTTAATTGCAAACACTTAAATTGTGTAAGATTCATCTAGAATTGTACAGTAGAGCTGCCGACTTTGTTTATTAGTAATATAGTAATCAGACTGTAATCTAATGTTTAGTGAAACTACATTAAACATATTAAAATGATTGTTTGCTATGTCACATATGATTTTACGTGAAATTGAGTCGAATTTAATCTTATTTCTTCTCGTATTTTCTGTAAATTTTAAATCATATAATTGTAAATACTGAGTTATTAACTAACATAAAAGGTAAACGTTTGTTTGAATGTATGAATATTTGGTATAAATATTTGTTCATGCAAATTTTATTCGTATACTCAAATTTTTAAACGATCTAATCCATACTGTTCACACAAATTCCACGTAATAAAATTTTTAATATTAGAGAAAAAATCAACAAGGGCGAGTGACATTTACGGAACGCAGTAAAACAATAGAAAAGAACTCCTTTACAACTAATTATACATGTCTTGAGGACATTTTCAACGTGGACCAACGTGGTAATTAAAATGAGCCCTGCCAAACTTGTCAAGAGATGTTGTCCTATCCAATTATATACAACTTGGAATTAATAATGATGTGTTTAGTACAACAATAGCTTTCATCTCAAATATCTTAGGGCATTAACATTTGATTTCGTTCTTTTATGCAAAATAAGTAAAGTAAAGTTAATGAGTAAAGCGGAATTCCTACATCTTATATATTTTTGAGAAACTCGACTCATCTACTTTGTAGACATTTAAGTTGTAAATATGTTTATAGACTTAAGTTGGTACTAGTGGTTGGACAGTACTTTGTAGTTCCTACAACTGTCGGTTACCAGGCTTAATCAAACCAAGTCTGCAAAACTTTGAATTTTGCCTTTATAGGCGTTCTTTAAGGTTTTCAGTTTTTTTTTTAAAATATCTTTTGGAAAAGCATAACACGGCAAACTGTATGTTATTATTTCACAAATCCGATAAGTGCTCTTAAGTAAACGTAAAATTCAAATTATTGAATGATATAGCAACTCTCTAAAAACAACAGACATTTACCAAAATGCTTAACATTGATATAAAGTATTTTGACAATTCACCAGCATTTACTTACGGCTAATAATCAAGATATGGTGAATGAAGTGTTGAAATTGCCACAAGCAGCAATATCCTTTGTTGCACTTTTGTTTTTGGGGTTAAAATTGACATCACTTTTATGGTAAAAATATGTAAACCTTTTTGAAATATCAAGTAAAATAATAAATTAAAATACAATTTTACGTCGACATATTCATCTTAATTGATCGACGTTTAGCTTCTTAGACAATGGTGCATGATAA